TTGATCGTGTTACTTGTCTCGGTGGCCACCATCTAGATCAATCAAAATATTTATACCCGTCCATACAAAAAATCAGAGATATTCCCGTTTTTTAAATTTTTTCATTCTTGTACGCACGATATTTTGAAAAAAAATGAAAATAGTAAGTTGAAATTTGGTGTGATTATAGCTCTTAAAATATTGAAGACGCGTATTTTGGATAGGCGCAATCGGCCGAGCAGTTTCGGAGATATTTAATGTTTTGTACGAATCTATTTCATTAAAAGGTTGAATATCTTCCTGTAGACATCCTGTATGCNCCTAACAACCTCAACAGGGACAGAGGATATCAAGTGAACCCTATTTGGAAGACCGTCCTCCCGGTTTTTTAATTGATCAGCTGATCTCTCAATTTCTTCTCGAGTTATCGTGTGAACAAACAATTTGAGGAAAAAATAGAAAATGGGGAATATCTCGAAAACTATGTATGAATGAGTATACATATTTCGATTGATCTAGATAGAAGACATTAAGACGGATATTTTGAAAAAAAAAATCAAATCGGTCCAATAGTTTTGGAGATATTGACCAAAATAGTTTTATACAAAATGTGGAATATCTCAGGAACTATTGGACCGATCGGGCTGAAATTGTAGATCAATGTTCAGCAAAATAATACCTACTATTAGACAACATTTCAAATTTATATCAATAAATTTCACCGTATTAATGTTATATTTTCTAAAACGTGACCACCCAAAAACCGAATCCTCGGACACGGACATACAAACATTTTCTAAAAACATCATTTCTTTACGTTTCATACCATTCTACATGATTTCCAGGCAAAATTAGAGAATGTCAGAATCCGAAAAATACAATGCTTCCATTCGGAAGCAAAAATACAGCAAAAGAGGCCTGGGAAGCCCTCAAGCAACATCACAAAGAAGCAAATGGTATGGATAAATTTGCTCTAATAATAGAATTACACTACTTGAAACTAAATGAGGATGGAGATATGCAAAGTCAAGTCTCAAAATTACAGAAATTGATTGACAATTTGAGTGCCCTCGGAAGTAAAGCCGTCGAGGAGTTTGGACCTTGGATTGTATTACGTAGTGTACCAGCTTCGTACGGACCGTTAATTTCAATTTTGGCTGCGATGCCTGAGAAGGGCATGACTCTAGAGGTCGTAAAGTTAACATTACTTACTCAAATTACTGAGAAGTTGCTGGGTGTTGAGAAGACATCACAGGATAGAAATGTCGACGATTTCGATGCCATAATATTACGATTAAAAGATAAATATCACGATCCTTCTACTAATTACACAACGAAAATTCAAATCCTCACAATACTTCCTCCAACCTGGACAATCGAGCAACTAGCCGAAACTATAAACACGACGACTCACACTGCCAAGCTAGCTAAACCCCTGGCAGACTCAGATGGGATCTTGGCTACCCCAAAGAAAAAAATTGCTAAACTTTTACTTTCAAACAAGCTTAGGTTCATAAAGGAAAAAAGGGGTATTCATGTACTTTTTGTCGTTTCAGGGAGAAGCCTCTCTCCACAGATAGTCATTGCGGTTATCAATTTTTATCAGTCAGATGATATCAGTGTATTCCTTCCTGGAAAGAAAGATTTTCCGTGCAGACGAATGCAGGCAGAGTTCATCAACAAAAACGACGTTTATTAAGCAATCTCAACGAACTGTACGCCACGTTTAAAGAACGCCATCCTAGATGACAATTGGTTTCTCCATGTTTGTTAATTTGCAGCCTAAACATTGTATCTTTGCAGGGCCCACTGGTACGCATACTCTATGCGTATATCCAATTCATCAGAATTTCAAATTAATGCTGATGAGTGAGTAAAAATTTGCAAATATAGAATAATATGTGCGCTTTCAGATGAATGTAACAATGTAGACGGATTCACGAGAGCCTCCAACCTTCCAATGTACCTTAATAGCTAATGCTGAAAATTGATATCAACTCATCCTTCGATATGTATTTCAGACTTGGATATCAGCTCCATCATTCACGAGCGTGGTCAACCAACTATAACCTACGAGGACGTGCTTTTGATACTTATGTGCAACCCATTCTCATCGAATTGCTACTTAGGTACTTGTCTCAATTGCCCAGGGGTAAGACCTTTACGTGAAAAAATAATCACTGTAATGATATAAGCGAAGCGATACTCACTTTGTGATGATTTTAAAATACACAAAATTGTTAAAACCGCTAAACGAGCCCCGCAGAGGAGTCGTAAAACGCCGTGAGGAAATGAGATACCTACCATGATTGAGTGATTATTTGTAAAATAAAATAATTGAAAAGGAAATATTGATAATTCTCATAAAAAATAAATATATTATTACCAAACTTGAAAAAATCTCAGTTTTTCATTTTTTTCGAATGAAAAAAAATCATTAAAAAATCCCCTCAAGAGATCCAACGATGAATTTTCCTGGAAAATAACAGTGAAAAAATATAGAATATGTGGTGAAAATTTTATCGAAATTAAAAATGTAGTTTTTGAATGAACTGTTTTTTCGCTGGTGCTGCTAAACCGTTGATGCAAAAAAAAAGTGGTATTTTTTTTTCAATCTGAAGAGAACTTATACGCATCTCCACTCAAATCGGAGACCATGAGGTTCCAACTCCAATGAGTTCGCGTGGAATGCCTCATATTTATCTTTCAGAAAACAGTCATAATGTGATTGAAAAAGTCAGCATTCCCCCCTCTATAGGTTGTTTCTCCTTTTTTTCTTTATTGCTCTTCAACTTAGTAGGTGAAAACAAACCGGTGAACGATATTGGCGAGCAGAGGGGGAGGAAGGGCAAATCTCATTGAATTCATGACTTAGACGATTAAATTGGCTCTTATTCAGAACGTCAAACCGTCAATGTTTACGTTTTACGTGAAACAGAAACATTGAATGGTCACCAAACCTCAGTCGTTTGCAGTATTTGATTCGTGTAAGTTATTTGAGATAGTGTGTTGGAAAGAATTGAGCAGTTTTACTCGTGTACTCGACGGAAAAAATGCCCAAACTTCCAAAGATGATTTTTTTCAAAAAATTAGCGAAGAAACGTTGGAAGACAACTGAGGAATTGAACCATTTGGAAGTTGCTGATGATTACTGTAAAGACATTGATTGTGATCCACCAAATGGTGATTCAGTTCAAGAAAACGTTTCAAGCGATTTTTGTGAAATTGTTACCGGTTTACACAAGTCTCTCTGATGCTGCCTTACTTGCGCGTTGTTCATTAGGGCGCACGCAGAATGCCAATGAATGTTTGCATAGCATGATTTGGCGTCGATGCCCGAAAGATGTAAGTCCATCGAAAGAACGTATCGAGACAGCAATATCCGAGGCTATTTGTGCGTTCAATGAAGGGATTCTAGAGAGTACAACGCAATTCCTCGCTGCTATGGGTTTGACGGCGAGTCATCTATCGCAGAGGATAGGACGAAGGCGAGTTCGTCGACGATGTGGACGTCTTAAGGCACGTCAAACAGTGAAGTTCAAAGCTGTACGATATAATAAGAAGCACACGAACCCAGAAAAAAAGGACGGCAATCAAAAACGGAGGAAATTACCTGTGGAGCGGGAGCTAGAATTCTAAGAATTCTAGAATTTTGACTTTTTCTCTCCTCGGGATAAGAGTTCTAGTGACGAAAAAGCATATTGAAGTAAGCTATGCATATTTCTTCTGTGTGCGCATGCGTGTGGCGAATGCCTACTTTTGCCGGTCTGCGCGCTATTTTACTTTGGTCAGTTCGGTCGTACTCGAGATGTAAGGAGGAAAGCGCAGTTAATAATAAAACTATTCTCTTAATAAACTCATCGTTATTATTTGTTCCTCTTCATCTCTACCTTGCTGGATCTCGTGGAAGGGCAACTATAAGAATTCTAACAAAGTAGTCTCATTGAACTACGTCTTATCCGGTTAAATCCTAGTCTATAAGACGAAGGCTAGACTTCGTCATAATTGACAGAATGATTCGTTTAATCCAAACGAGACAAAATAACTATTCGTTAACAGTTAACGAACGGTGCACCCGGGTAAACGTTGAAAGTTAAAATTCAAGTCAAACAAGGTTCCTCAAATATACGCTTAATTGCTAACGAATGAACATTTGGTGAGATCAAATGGACCCTAGCCTCCAACCAAATCCATTTGTTAATAATAACTAATGCTTTCTATCAGTGTACACTTCTCTTGCGTGTTCTCATATAGCTCATGACCCCATAAAGTAGTTTTTTCCAAAAGTATTTCCAATTTGTTGGTAACGGACGTAATTGAGTTCCCGCAGTGTTCGCGCCAGACGATTTTGGATGAAATGACAAGAGAGTAAATGTCAATGCAATTGCATACCTCAGGATGGATAAATAATAATTGGATCTAGATATTATCCAAACTATTAAATGCCCCTTCACTATAATGTTTGTGCAACTCCCATTATGTTCTGAACTTCTGTAAATATGCAACATTGAGACTAGTTGTGCGTTGGCGTATGGGTCGATACATAACATGCACGCCGTCCTCCAGGGGTGTCGAAGTTGAACAATTATATGGATTGTGGAAGGGAACATGCGAAGTATGATAAGTCACGTCGAATAGTCAACAACCAATATCATTGAAAAGAAGAGCCATTGGAATTTTCAATGTCATTAAAGAAAAGTGGTTACAATTATTTTATAAATTGCATTACGAATTGATTAATATTGAAGATTGGAGATAGCACCCATAATTACCAAGCAGTTGATGACAACCGGATTTTGAGCTCACAAAATAGTGGAATAAATTTGAAAAGCGGCTTACAAGTGTCTAAAGTATCCATCGTTATTTTGGAATTGCTTTCCAGCAGTCATCACTTCTTCAAAAATATTCATATACATTGAAAAATGCAGAGAAAGGAGCTTCTAGAAAATCACGTTTCTAGAAAAAATGAAAATCTACGAGAGAAACTCCTAGGTTTTGATAAAAAGCATTCTCTATCAAGAATAGGTTTCAATGAGATGTTCGCAGTATCGAATACTTTTCTGCGAAAATTAGGACTAAACAACATTCATGCTGTTTTTCGGGGTACACAGGAGAATAAAAATGGAGTAATTTTTCCCTTAACTTCTGCAGCGGCGTTTCTCTTCTTATTAGGTTTAATTAATAATCTCGTTTACGAATGGGATCGTGATATGTACAGGGCGTTGGAAACTATGCCGATTATTCTATCGGCAGTTCTAGCATGGTTTGGGGTACGTATTCAGTATTCATTGTGAAATTGTAGGAAGAGATGATTCGATTAGTCCCATGTGAATGATTCTACCAGTATCTCTGAAACTAGTGCTTGAGCAAAAGTCCAATGTGACCAGTAAGTCATTGCAATTTTTTATTGCACCTTTGCATTTAGCCTCGATGAGCTGTATCTGAGAACCTACTTTTGAATTGCTGATGTGCTTTGCGGATACGATCGACTCGAAAGGCTTTGTGTACAAATGATACCGCAACTTGTAGATCTATTTCACGCATACCTCATCCGCGACTTAAAAAGAGGTTCCCTGATAGCATACTGGTGCCATTGAAGAAAGTGTATAATTTAGTGGAAGGTCTCTGAATCGGTGAAGACCGCTTTAACATGCAACAAGAAGAGTTATTGTTTGAAATAAAAGAGCCATGTAAATAAGAGAGCAGTATACCCCCTCTCAATGGAAAATTTCAGTATTCACAATTTTAATCAACTTACCTTAAGAGAAAACATCAATAGATATTTTTGTGAGAAACTCCATGGATTACAAGACTTGCACAAGCAGTGTTTGCTATCACTCGTGATTTTGCTGTTGATGCGACTGCAAATAAAAAAAATGAAACAAAGAGAAATCAAATTCTTTAGAACTTTTTCATTTAAAGCATACTCGCAAAATACTCTATGACTCTGTGTTCGATTCATCTCTTCTTGGTACTTCACTGTATCAATATTGCATCATATTTTTTTACGTGATTTGCCGCAAGGGGTTTATGACTGGCCATCACCCAAAGGCCTTCAGCCTGGGATTTACAGAGATATTTAGTTGAATGTTATTATAATATACAGTATGTAATAGAGATCAAAATACAAAAAGAGGTGTTGGAATTCATGCCTGAATACAAAAATTAATTTCTTAGTTTAGTTAAACATTTTCTCTTTTCCACCCAAACACTCAGGGTGATATTTATGGCTTTTCTTAGAAAATAGAGACGTGAAGAAAAACAGTCCTCATGGTGAGTCACAAAGGAGAGGCTGAAGAAAATTGAAACAAGGGCCTTTTGTCAAATGGGTCCAGAGAGTGAAAACTCTCATGACTTTTAGTTAGTCGTCCTAGAGACTTCGTTGGAGAAAGATATACCTTCTGCGTGCGATCATTAAAGAGTTTTACTTTGAAGAATAAAACTAATGTGTTTTTATTGAGTATTCCTACACATAATCCAATAGGTTATGGGCCCAGGATACTCCGCGTTTTATAGTAGTTAATTTCTTTCTATTATGGTCAAGTTTTTCTTATTTTGAGTTATTAAAAAGTGAATTAAAATGTCTACGTCGTTGAAAAGCGATAGGAGAAACATTAAGTTGTTCGATGGTGAAAAATATAATGTTTGGAGATTCAGGATTTATGCTTTACTCACTGAACTCGGTGTAATAAAAGTGATTAGTGAACCAGTTCCTAATTATGTAACTGCAGAGTGGAAGAAATTGGACAGTACTGCCACAAGTGTGATTGTTAATTATTTAAGTGATTCATTTTTGGGTTTTGTCACAAATGAAACCAAGGCAAGAGACATTTTTGAAAAATTGGACAAATTATATTTGAGGAAAAGCCTTGCGACTCAACTTGCACTGAGAAAGAAGTTACTTGCACTGAAACTGGAGGGCGAGACAACCCTGTTGAAACATTTTGTGAATTTTGATGACTTGATTAGTGAATTAATCACAGCCGGTGCTAAATTAGAAGAGATGGACAAGATCGCACATTTGTTATTGACAATGCCAAATGCATACGATGGTGTAGTTACGGCAATAGAGACTTTATCAGAGGATGCATTGAGCTTGGAATTTGTTAAAACACGACTGCTGGATCAAGAAGTAAAATTAACAAATGAAAGTCGAGATACCAGTAGTAAAATTCTTCAAGCTCAAGCCCAAAATGCAAGTGTCAGAAATGAAAGTGATAAGAAAAATCAAAAGCATTTTCGACAAAAACCCAAAAGACCGAATAAATTCAAAGGACAAAATAAATCGATTGGAATCAAGTGTTATCATTGTGGAAGGCCAGGGCATCAAATTAAAGATTGTATTCATCACAAAAGACAACAAGAATACACTAAAAACAGGCAAAATAAAAACACTGCACAAATAATGCAGGTCGAGCAGCCCTCGGCTTCAAACGTCTTCAAATCGAGTTTCGCTTTTATGGCTCTTGAACATGTGGCATTTGAGGAAACACAGAAAAAAATTGTTTTTCTCCTCGACTCTGGGGCCACAGACCACATCATAAATCGTTTAGACCTGGTGACAGATTTTGAAGACCTGGAGATCCCAACACAAATTACTGTTGCAAAGAAGGGTGTTTTCATCACGGCAACAAAAAGGGGTACGCTGCGGGTGACAAGCAACAAAGGTTTCCAGGGAGAACTTAAGGATGTCCTGTACTCGCCTGATTTACCCCACAATCTACTCTCTGTTCCGAAAATGCGTAAGGCTGGATTTACGGTAATTTTTGGACCAGAAAAGGTAGGAATTTTAAAAGATGATCAAGTGATCATGGAAAGTCAATCCGTCAATGGATTGACCGCTCTCGAGTTTGCGGTTATCTCTCAAAGGGTAAAGTTAGCTAATCAAGCATCTAATAATAAAATTAATTATGAAGTTTGGCATCAACGCTTGGGACATATTGGTAGAAATAAATTTTTAGAATTGAAAAACAAAGAAATGATTGATGACATAGAGTTGATTAAACAAATCACACCAAATGATGATTTGTGTGAGCCTTGCATTAAAGGAAAACAAGCGCGGTTGCCATTCAATAAGGCTAAAGATAAGTCTCATATAGACAGACCGTTATTCATTGTACATACAGATATTTGTGGGCCGATTACTCCTCCGACAGTTGACAATAAAAACTATTTCGCGACATTTATTGATCAGTACACGCATTATTGTGTTACATATTTGATGACACAAAAATCAGATTTATTTTTGGTTTTTCGAGACTTTGTTACTAAAAGCGAAGCTCATTTCAATTTGAAAATAGTAAATTTATACTCCGATAATGGGAGAGAATATTTGTCAAATGATATGAAAAATTTTTGTCGGGAGAGAGGAATTAGTTTTCACTTAACGGTACCGAGAACTCCGCAATTAAATGGCGTAGCCGAGAGGATGAATCGGACAATAACGGAGAAGGCTCGGACACTTATATCTGGTGCTTGTTTAGAAAAGATTTTTTGGGGTGATGCTGTTCTTACAGCCACGTATTTGATAAATAGAACACCCACGAAAGCTATAAAAGAAAACAAAACACCATTTGAAATGTGGCATAATAAGAAGCCACAGATTAAATATTTGAGAATATTCGGTTCCACTGTTTATGTGCATGATAAAATCAGTAAAGGTAAATTCGATGAAAAATCGTGGAAAGGAATACTGATGGGATATGAACCGAATGGTTATCGTGTGTTTGATGTTGAAACAGAAAAATATTCTGTAGTGCGAGACGTTATTGTAGATGAAACTAAATTTTTGCAGTCAAGGCCTGGAATAGGGCATAGTGGAGCTGAAATAGTGCCCCCTGAGGCTGAAAGAATGCCGAAAGGAGTTAAAATAAAACCTCCAGCAAAATCTGATATTGAGAAATCAGATAATTGCAATATTGATGAATTTGATGAGGCTGAAAAAGTGCCTAATAGGGCTGAAAGAATGCCTGAAGGAGTTGTAAGTGAAACTCCAGTGAATATTGATGATTTTAATAGTTTCTCTAAATCAACAAAAGCGTCTCAGCACAGTAAAACTGATCTTTCTGACAATAGTTCAAAATCAGTAAGAAATAATGATCAATCTAATAATGACAAATCAGAAATGACAATTGGAGGTGAATCAAGTAATGATAATAGCCTCGATAGTTTGGTAAAGAAAGATAATTTGAAACGAATGACTTCAGAACCGAGAAGAAGTGACCGATTGAAAAAACGGCCACATATTTCTTATGATGAAAAGAATATACCGGAAGACTGTTTCATGAATGCTCAATCCATCATTAATGATATCCCTACCCTTTATCATGAAATTAAAAATAGAGACGATAAAGAAAAATGGGAACACGCGATTCAGGATGAAATTAATTCCTTATTGGCAAACAACACATGGAGTTTAGTGCCAAGACCTGAAAACAAAAATATTGTTGGTTGTAAATGGGTATTCGCAATCAAGCATGATGAACATGGGAATCCCGTCAAATATAAAGCTCGTCTCGTAGCTAAGGGATTCAGTCAAAAATATTTAATCGATTATAATGAGACATTTGCCCCAGTAGCACGAATTGCAAGTTTTCGATTTATTATTGCTTTTGCTAATCAATTCAATTTATTAATTCATCACATGGATGTTAAAACTGCATTCCTGAATGGCAATTTAAAAGAAGAAATATATATGAATGTTCCCGAGGGTATTGAAAATGATCAAAATTATGTTTGTAAATTAAATAAATCGTTGTATGGATTGAAGCAAGCAGCCAGGTGCTGGTTTGAAGAATTTGATAAAGCTCTCGTTGAAAAAGGATTCCAGAATTCTCCAGTTGATAAATGTATTTATATTTTGGATAAAGGTGACATAACACGAAATATTTATGCAGTCTTGTATGTCGATGATCTGGTGTTAGTCACGAAAGAGCAAGAAACAATGAACAGTCTGAAGGGATATTTGATGGAGCGTTTTAAAATGGTAGATCTGAACGAGATCAAGCTTTTTCTGGGAATTAGAATTACAAGGTCTGATGATAAAATAACTCTTGATCAGAGTAGTTATATTGAAGCAATATTAACTAAATTTAATATGCATGATTGTAATCAAGTGAATACTCCTATGGAGAGTAATGTTGATTATGAAGGTTTGAATTCTGAAGAGAATTGTAATGCACCTTGTCGAAGTGTCATTGGATGTTTAATGTACTTGATGGTTTGTACTCGACCAGATTTGAGTATTGTTGTTAATATATTGAGTCGATACATGAATAATAATAATGAGGTTCTTTGGAAATGCCTCAAGAGAGTTTTGCGTTATTTAAAAGGGTCAAAAGATTTGCAATTGGTCTATGAAAGAAGTAATTACAATGACATTTTGACAGGGTATGTTGATTCCAATTGGGGAGGAAATGATAGTTCGGATAGAAAGAGTACCACAGGATACTTATTCAAACTATTCGAACAATGTACAATATGCTGGAATACAAGAAGGCAAACCTCTGTTGCAGCTTCATCCACTGAAGCAGAGTATATGGCTTTATTCGAAGCAGTGAGGGAAGCATTATGGCTCAAATCACTTGCAATTAGTATAAATATTGGAATTAATAAACCAATTATAATTTATGAAGATAATACCGGATGTATTAGTATTGCCAGTAATCCGTCAAGCCACAAGAGATCCAAGCATATTGACATAAAATATCATTTCTCTCGAGAACAAGTTGCAAAGAATGTAATCAAATTGGTTTATATTCCAACAGGGAAGCAATTAGCAGATGGATTAACGAAGTCACTCCCATCGGCAGGGTTCTTGGAATTCAGGAAGAATTTATGTTTAAAGTGACATAGTTTAAAACAATGTATTTAGATGATAAGTTGATATATATGACTTGTATAGGGCGATCAGGTTTTTCCCTGGGTTTTTCACCTGATCAGTTTGTAGCGCTATACACAGTATTCCCAGAAGGCATAAAGAAGGTGTATCTCAATCCAGTAATATTTTTTTTAAATGTACACATTTTATATGATAAAACTAGTTAAGGTTAATAGATTAATTTTTGAGGGGGCGTGTTGGAATTCATGCCTGAATACAAAAATTAATTTCTTAGTTTAGTTAAACATTTTCTCTTTTCCACCCAAACACTCAGGGTGACATTTATGGCTTTTCTTAGAAAATAGAGACGTGAAGAAAAACAGTCCTCATGGTGAGTCACAAAGGAGAGGCTGAAGAAAATTGAAACAAGGGCCTTTTGTCAAATGGGTCCAGAGAGTGAAAACTCTCATGACTTTTAGTTAGTCGTCCTAGAGACTTCGTTGGAGAAAGATATACCTTCTGCGTGCGATCATTAAAGAGTTTTACTTTGAAGAATAAAACTAATGTGTTTTTATTGAGTATTCCTACACATAATCCAATAAGAGGTAAATAGGGATTTCTTTTACATCAGAAAGTATGAGATGCGAGTGAAGTAATTTGAAGGGCTTGATGAGAATGATGAAAGAAAGTAGAGAACTATTGTTATTTATGCAAAGTTTTATTATTGGAGGCATGCTAAACCTCCCCAGTCATCGTTTCCATATGTTTCTATGCGAATGGCTTCAAGATTCTCTATGAGGGTTTGCTCCTAGGGGTACTTATATCGCATCTTAGCGTTGGGAATGCGCTCGTGACAGAGGTTTAGAATATGGCCCAGTTCATTAAGAACGAAAGTTGATGTTAATTTTTTGAGTCTGTCTGTCATGGGTTCTATTTGGGTGCGTTCGTACAGTACGGTATTCGAGGGGGATTGGATCATTATTGTAGAGATACTGTATCCATGAATTAGTGTACCGTGGATACTCCCTATGATTTCGCTTTTCTAAGATCTCAGTTGAGGAAGTTGATTTCCCCTATCGTTAACAACCGCGTCTGTAAGTAGTGTGTGGGCTCTTCTGCGTGACAGGAATGCGCAATAGGACCACTGGCGGTATGGGAAGATTGGAACCAGAGTTTGGTTGTTCACTAAAAATGAGGGTTTTCTACGGTACTTGATAGAATTGATAATTTAGCTCTAAATGGTACAAAAGGTAACCATTGTAGAGCAACTTTCAGACAATTTACAGTCATCAAGAAGCAAAAATAACAATATTTTAATAATTTAGTGTGTGAAAATTCCGTCTCATTCGTATCGAAATATACGATTTTCATACAGATTCGAAAAAATGCCATTCTTCCAAAAATCGATTTTTCAACGGTCACTCAAAAAATTTTCATCAAAATGGAATTAGTCATAGATAAAAAAATTGATAATAATACGTGCTACCTGAGTTTTTTATATAAAAATCTCTATTAGGGGAGGGTGAAAGTAAATTAAATTAAATTCCAGGTAAATTCCTGGAATCCGTACCACCGAACATGAAATTTTAGGGAGTTTCCATGGTATTACTTTCAGAGCCAATAATATGATTATAGTTTGCCAAAAAAACTTCCGCTGTTGTCTAAGATTTTAGATCGCATCAGTGAAAATTGTTCGCTGGGTAGATAAATTAATTTATTGTTAGTATGAAAAATATCAATTGATAGCTTTTGCAATATTTCAACGTCTTTTTTTTGTTTAACATAGGGGGTATTGTTGTACACTTCATCGAAGAAAATAAAAGGATTACTTAGAGACACAAAAGTTTCATGGACCAAAGAGTTGGCGGAGAATGTCGATGATATCATCATTGACACTGCCAAAAGAAGTATTTTCTTCACTATATTTTATGCTGTTTTAATCTTCGCAGTTGCAGCTCTGTACCTTATTGTACCCTGCGTGTAATTTTTATTGCTCAAATGTTCCTCCATTCTTCTATCGCACCTAATATAAAAGTATGTAGAGAACTGAAAAATTGTTTTTGTAATACAGGCGAATGATTAAAAAATTAGTTACTGCTGATGGTGACACATACTTCGATTTGAATGTGAGATTTTTGCCTATACGATATCCATTCAGCATTGATACTATGCCAACTTATATCATGTGTTCAATATTCGAAGTCACTTGTGCGTTCTACATTGCAACTTCATATCTGACTGTCGATACTCTTTTCCTTCAGTTCACAACAATTCTTTCTTTATTACTGCAGGTAAATTTTCTTTGTGGTCCTTCCTCTTGCATCAAAATATACTTGTATTCTTGTCTCTCACGAAAACTGCAGGTAAAAAATTCGAAGAAGCAACATTGGGCAACAATGATGAAAAGTTCGATCGGTCATTACTAAAAAAAATTAGATCATTCCGTATAGTACAATCCGTGTTCATAACCAAGGTTTTTCCTTCGGTTTCTATGCTCAAGTCTTTTTTTCTTTTCCATAAACCACACGTACCGTGAGTGTCCCAATTGCCGCACGGTTAAGAATATTCTACCAGACAATAGCGTTTAATTTGTGTTTTTTTTTTGTAATTATGAATTCTGAAGGTTCATGAGTCATCTTTGATCATTTCTTGACAAAAAGACATTCGATTTCAACTTTAATTCCGAAGAATTCGATAAATATTCATAAAAAACCATCATAGCTCTTATGGTCGAGTTCTCGGACGACTAAAACTGACCTAGCCGGGTTGCCGGATATCGTGTGCCCGATTCTCGGACACAGTGAAATAGAGGCAGAGAAATATAGGAAATCAGTTGTGAAAAGTATATTAAGTGTAATTTTATTACTATTTCAACAATGATAAACTGTGATCAACACAATAATAAACAAACAAAAACGTTGAGACAATAAAATATTTGAGTTTATGGTTCATTTAGAGGGATTTTTTCGGGAGGGCTGTGAGAATCGTTAGCGTCTCCACAACTATTATTTAAAAGTTCTTTTTTCTTTATCCCAGAGTCCTTCCTGAATTGACAGTCTTCAGAGATTTCCGCAAGTCCTCATTGGTATATTTGCGGGCTTTTTTTTTCTGTATTTCCAGGCCTAGAAGATTATAAAAAATGGATGAATTTGTTATATTCGTTATTTTTATTTTTATTCTCATAATTTTTTCATTATCTAATGCACGAGAGTTTCAGAAAATAATATATCTTTATGAAAGCAACGAAACTGGCAGAAAAAAAAACATTGAGGTTAAGGGTTGGGAATCACATGTGCGGAAACTCCTCCAACCGCGAATTCAGTCGTCCGAGATGCCGGATTTAACATTTCCTCCATAAAAAACAATTATTTTTCTCTTTTTTTCATTTCAGTTTTTTCCAAATTTGTTGCTCAACTACTAGAAACCTATTAAAATCAATTGTTCACTTACATTTTGCTGTTTGATCCTTACGCAATATGGATGATTTTTAACGTTCGCGTACTACACAACCACCAGCTCAGAGACCAGCCATGGGTACTCTTACGTAGATTAATTTCTAATAATTGTATGAAACTCGTGGAACATTCGTCAATAGTGTGATTTGAAGGGGAATAATTGGACAACCGCATGTAACAAAATGAAATGATGACTGTGAATATGTGATAAATGCTAAATTTTATCCTAAAAGAGCTCTGCGTCCGGGAAAGGGGTCCCGTGCGGCAATTGGGACACTCACGGTATAATGTACATATTAGGAAGGTTATTGAATAAGCTTCAAAATGACACCTGATTTGACCAATTCTGATAATTTTTCGGTGACGTATAAGAATTTTAGGGTAAAAATGGTAATTTCCTGTTTAACTTGAAAAAATATTTTTGCCTTGATTTTTCGATGCTCCTAAGTGGATTAGGAAGGAATATATAGATCATTTTGAAATGTATTTTCTGCTCTTCAAAATGGTGTATGGCAATTCTGATTCAATGCAATTTTCGTCCAGTTATAGCAATTGTTTCCACTTTGCACGTTATAGCACACAACAAAAATGACAGTTTTTGCCATTTATCGAGGCTTTAGACTTGACCAGCGAGGATATATCATATGTCAATTTGAAGGTCTCATCCAGATCTTCAAATTGTTACCCGATATTCATGTTTTTTTTTTCAAAATTGACGTTTACTTGGGTTTTTCGATATTTTAAAATAAAAATGAGTCAGAGTATTCATAGACCATTTTGAAGCATAATTCTCGATCTTCAGAATGAGGTGTGTTTGATGAAATTATACTCATTTTTCATCCAGTTATCAAAGATTATTTCCATTTTGAACGTGATATACCACTCTAAAATTCACCTTCTTTATCAGTTATTGAGTGTTCCTTCCTCTTGCAAAATATACTGGTATTTTTATCTCTCTCGAAGACTGCAGGTAAAAAATTCGGTCAAACAACATTGGACAACAATGATGGAAAGTTCGATGGGTCATTACTAAAAAAATTGGATCATATCGGAAAACAACACATTGAATTACTCTCGTAAATATATAATTTGGAGGAACGGAATAGAATAAAAGAGAATGGGGCAAAACGAATATCTCTAAATGTTATCAAAATTGAATCATAGAAAACTCTTGTAGTTTTTCGCAGATTTTATTGAAAAATTCTACTAAAATGATACCTGCCTCAAAAGTGCACTTTTCAAACCGGTCTAGTGTGCGTAAAGCGGTTGTTTCCCACACGGCATACGTAAAGTTCACGAGCATGCGTAAAGTGAATTCTTGTGCGTAAAATTCACTTTACACACGCTCTTGAACTTTACGCACTCGTGCCCAAAAACAACCCCATTATCCCCACAACCGTTCCGAACAGTGAACTCGCCAGGTATCACAAAAAATAGGATGTGTTATACGTGCGTGCGAAAAAGTGGAACTTTACGTATTAGTAACACAATATATCATTCTAACAGAATTTTTCAGTGGATGCGCTGCAGTTTTTCTAGATTTTTTTGGTATGTGAAGTTTCTGATATTTGAAGGCAATTCATTTTGCCCTACTCTTTCTGATAAATCATTAAACTACAAGAGATAATGATTAAAATGTTTCAGATATTGTCGGAGAATTGAAGAAATATTCAACCCAGTCATATTTTTAATGATGTTGTTTACCAGTGCAAATCTATGTGTTTGTGTCATTTCCCTAGAATCGGTAAAGAAATTCTAATTAGTTGAAAATGTTTTTTCTAATGACAGCCGCGCGTCGATGAATCCCAGCTTGCGGACGTCATGACAAAAAATACTATTAGACACGTACATTGAGAAAAAAAAAATTTTTTTCTAAATATTCATTTACTCGAGAGAACTATTTATTTTTTCGAAATCGTACTACTCCAATCAAGTCATTGTAAGGCGAGTCGGGTTAGGTTTCAATTATGACAATTAATCATGTTATTCTAGAGGATAACTATGTTGCACCTGACCTTCAATGAACTCCTCCAATGATTATTCATTTTTCCCAACTTCTCATTTTCTAAAGGGAAAAATTTCGATTAATTTTTTAATGTTCATAATTATTAAGGGAGTTCACTCAAGTCATATCTAACATAATCATCTCCTAGAGCAATACAATTGTCATAATTGAAATCTAATAAAGATTGCCTGGTAATGACACGACTGGAGAAATACGATATTGAAAAAATAAATGTTTCTCTCAAGCAAATGGATATTTGGCAAGAATAAATTTTTTTCTCAGTGTGGGAACCTTCATTTTTATGATTCTCCTTTATAGGCTTTATCTGCGCTAGAACTGGTAGATGCTGTTACATTTCTGATGCACTTCGCTGCTGTCATTCTGCAGCCGTTTATGTACTGCAATTCTGCTGAGGATATTTCCCAATGGGTGAGCAATTTTTATTCATAAATTAAAAGGAGAATGAAAAGGAACAATATAAATGAATTGCTTTGAATAATACCTGTAGACGAGTAATATAGCCACAACAATCTACACTTGTCAGTGGCCGGATCAGAATAAGAAATTCAAGAATATAGTACTGCTCGTAATAATGAGATCTCAACGTAATTATGAATTTGGACAATATGGATTGTTTAAAGTGAATCGACATCTACTGACTCAGGTAATTGTTTATCAATCGTCAACAAGAATCTATGAAAATTGTGACTCATTGCTTTCAGTTGGTGCATACAGCAGGCAATTTCTTCATGTTATTACGGAAAGCAAATACTTGATTGGAAATCATTTCAATATTTTCTATTTTCAAGTCGTGTCGATTTGTCATCTGTGTTCTACCTCTAACGACTTTGTGACTTCATGTATCTACATCTAATTTATGCAATTACAATTTATATTTGAAATCTAAAGAATTTCATGTTCATCGAAAATTGTTTGATGAGAATTTCATGTTATGCTTATGCTTATATTCAAACTTTCCAGCACTGCTAAGGCTTAGCGCAATACACTATGACTCTGAAGTACATTTTTGACTTTGGAATTCTTTTCGCTTACAAACGAAGGAGGATCATAAGAACAGTCCTTCATCCATTTTCCAAAGAAAACAAACATTTTATTGAACATCGTAATTACAGTACATCTTATTATATTAGCTGACCGATTAGAAATCTTTGATTTTCAACTTTTTTAAACAATAACGGTGTATTTGTGTGTAATAATTAAAAATCATATAAAAAAAACTTTTTGTAGTGTTACATTTTCTGAATGTTCCTTATGCTTAAAAACAGAGATAACCATTCACTTCCTCATCAAGTTGACTCAATGATTGAATCTCCGGTTTGGACTGCCCCGGTGTATTATCGTGCTCCTCGTCACTTTCAGAGACCATTAAATCGTCGTGAACTTTATCAGTGATGATCTTCTTTGCCCTGGGAACTAAACCAGCGAGCAAAAAGTCCGAAACATCACAATTGGGATCAACATCCATGTTCCCTTTCTGCTGCTCTCCACCAAATAACCCAACATTGCCCAACTGCACCATTGCTTCAACAGCTTGCTGACTGTCATCATCACCAGCTACCGCCCAGCAGTTCCTCATTTCACCAAGATCTAATTCTCCCAAATCCCCAGACTCTCTCTGCTCGTCAGCAGTCCATGGAACTTCAATGAATTCATCTTCACTAGAGAATTGTAAATCCTCTTCAAGAACATCTTTCTTCTTTGGATGAACATCAGCAAAGTTGAAGTCATCTATACTGGACTTGCCGAACTGATTGTCTGCGATATTCATCTGGCTACTTGAATATTCAGGTTCAACATTCGTGTCATTCTCTCCTTCAGGACCCAGCCAGGAAGAGTCCATATATGCTTGCTCCATTGCACGGTGTTGAATTAGAGAAATATTATGTTCGAGTTGAGTGAGAGGTTCAACAATCGTGTCATTCTCTCCTTCAGGACCCAGCCAGGAAGAGTCCATATATGCTTGCTCCATTGCACGGTGTTGAATTAGAGAAATATTATGTTCGAGTTGAGTGAGAGGTTCAACAATCGTGTCATTCTCTCCTTCAGGACCCAGCCAGGAAGAGTCCATATATGCTTGCTCCATTGTACGGTGTTGAATTAGAGAAATATTATGTTCGAGTTGAGTGAGATGATTATCGTACTCATCCAGTGTTTCTCTGCTGATTTTGAGTAATACTTCTGCATTCATCGTGTACATCGATTCTTTTCCATTGTACAGAATACAATTATCCCGAATTTGTTCAACATCTCGTATGAATTCGTGACGATTGTGGTATTTATGTCCACATACTTTTTTAGAAATTGTCTCAAGGTCCATCGGTGTTTTGATTATATTGTAATAATCTTCGACCTGCTTTTTGTTCACTGGTTTGAGAAAGGGCCAGGCTTCAGCCATGAGCTTAAGTTTGCTGTTGACAACATTGTCGAGGATGAATGTGAGTGCGACTTGGTCGTTATCGTCTAAAAGAGGATTTATCGTTTTCTCTAATTTCATCAGTCTATCTTCCTTTTCTCCGAGTCTTTGTACACACGTGTCGAGCATTCTCTTCGCAGCAACTGTCAGAGAGCTCTCCAATCCATTATACAAATTTGAATTCTCAACGATCTGATTGACGTCAGCCAGGAAGTTCTCTCTGCTCTGATATTTTTTCTGTCGGAGATTTTCTCTGATGGTCTGAAGGTCCATCGGACATTGGATGATTTTATAGTAATCTGGAACAGCTTTTGTACTGACTGGAAATTTGAAGGGTTGAACGTCAGGGAGATCACGCATTTCATTTAGAATGCTCTCAAGAATAGTTCCCATTACGACAACTGGATCAGTTCTGCGTCTTTTAGCGGGTCTCTCATGTTTCCTAAGGTAGTCACAGTGGTCTTCTGGTGCTCTTCGTCGCTTCTTCGCGCTGACTACTTCTTTAGGGAGGAGAGTTTGTCTTTTTAACTCCTCGGCCTGCTGAAATTGAGAAATGGAAAGGTTTATTAGTAATACAGGAGAATTGCTTGCTGGTAGGAAGTTGGAAGGAAAATAATTGTTATTGATGGAAATTAACTTTCCTCTCAACATTCGAGAATTGTCCTCTGCCCGTCAAAACTCCAAAATGAATTAAATATTCGTGATTTGTTAGCTGTTTCACGACATTTTAATTCAGGGAAGAAATCTTTTTTTAAAATTTTTTTAAGGGCAGACCACTCTGAGTTTTAAAAGTTGCCGGCTATTGGAGTGAGATTTCTCATGCATTGAAGATCGATTAATATGTCTAAAAACGAATAATTAGTGCAAAAAAATTAATTATTCATTGATCGTTTGCCCCGCAGGCGCTTCAAATGTTACAAATATTCCAGGGCCTCTAAATTTTGAGCTAAAGGGGATTTTTTTTTTAAATTTCTCTTACACAGCTAATTTAGTTTTGTTAAATAAAAATTTGCGCCACTGATGCAAAATAGGCAGAAAAATTGTCCTTAAAATATTTAAAATTAATTTTCGATTCTTTCAAAAACATTTTTTCGGCTATTCTACATGAACGGAGCAATTTTCTATTGAAAAAAAACGAAACTAGCGGTGTAGGAGTAGGACTTCAAAAAACTAACTCGTAGTTCTTATTGCACTGATTTTTTCAAAAATTTTGAAGAAATAACATCTGTAGCTCAAAAATTGGAGGCCCTGGACTATTTTCAACATTTTATGCGTCTGTGAGGCAAACGGACAATAAACAATTATTTTTGTTGCACTGATTATTCGTTTTTAGACATATATAACCGATCTTCAATGTATGAGAAATCTCATTCCAATAACCCGCAACTGTTAAAACTCAGTAGTCTCCCCTTAAATAAAAAAAAACTATGTAAAGAAAAATTATATTTGCTCAAAATTCTGTGCGGCGATAGCACAAAATTGTCCCTAATAATTCCACGCCACGACTGGACTCGCAATAAATCAAATTAAAAATTAATAATGAATACGTTATTACTCTTACTTTGATGAGTTTCATAGATAATGTGATCTTAGTATCCTCGACATTAACAAGATTTAGATTGTCAGTGCATTGCTTGTCAATCTCTGTCTTCCGCTTCTTAGTCATGGCGGCATAGTCAGGACCAGTGATCAAGCTATTTTGATAATAGGGACAAGCCCTATTGGTCCTCATGTGACCAACAGAGCCACAAGCACCACATTTCAATTTCGAATCTGCTTTTAGTTTAGGCCTTCGAGACTTCGTTGGAGGTATTTCTGGTATAGGATGTTTAGAGGCTACAGAACTGGATGGAATATTATTGAATGGAAGGATACTGGTGGATGTGGTAGTTGGGGTGTTGATATTGCTACGATCGAGCATGCTGGGAGTAGAAGGAACACTGGTGGCAGACGTGCTACCACCACGCGATTTGTTACGTTCCTCAACCCTCTTAATTCGTCTCAGTTGCTCTTGTAGCCTCCTCTTCTCTCTTTTCATCTGTTCCGTTTGTTCGTCGTTGAGCGTTGCAAACTGTTTGATGAAGGTTTCATTCTTGGAATTTCTAATTCTTATGTATGTATCAATGACTGCAGCGTTTCGTACTGTTTCTACCCGAGTATATTCCTTCCCGTCGTCATCTCGGAATGTACGATAAATCTTTAAGACTCGACCTGGTTGAGTATTGAAGCCCTGACCTGGCTTCCTGCTGTCCTCTTCGTCACCTCTCTTCTTGTCTTTTTGCTTCTTACCTTCCAGTTCTTGGGTTTCATCCATCAAAATTTTCCTCAACTCCTCTCTCTGTCGTTCTTCTCTTTCCAATGAAAGCTGCGAGCTTGTCTTCTTGTTGGATAACAGGTTCTCGATATTTTTACCCATTTCTTCGATGTCTGAACTGTCTTCATCTGAGCTCTCTTCCTCGTCAGTGCTGAGTACTTCAGCAGATGAGAGAACTAGATTCTGGAGCTGGAAGATTCTTTGACATTCTTCTTTATATCTCTCTTGATGCGCTGCAATGGAGAACTTATTTCTTCTCGAGAACTTAGTCATTGCTTCTTCACCAGCTTTTGCTTTCTCAGTTGACAAAGTTCGTACAACATCAATCACCTCCCAACGTGACAATTTTTTAATTTCTTCGTCAGGTAATCCATACTTCCGAAGAATCGCTTTTGCTGCCTTCAGAGGTAATCTTCTCAAATCAGCATCAGTACCACCGACATTTTGCTTCGGCTGAGCCTCTGGTCCTTCTTTACTGACTGTTGGTTTATTGGGCACGCTGATATAGGAGAATCCTTCGCCGCATCCCGTGGGATCTGCAGGGCCCGTCAACTGCAGTAAACACTTTCCCTTCATTGCTTGAATGTATGCACGTGTTGTATTCCAAGGAGCTACTTTGACCTCGTCATCCATTTTCAGCTGCAGTTCTTCATCATCATCGTCGTGTGGAGCGAAGAGGAATTTTTCACCGTAACCAGCGTCTTTCAAACGTTGCTCAGCAGCAAGCATACTGAAATAGGCACAACACTCCTCTGGCGAAATCATCCTACAAATTTCCTCTTCACTGGGGAGACGAAAATCCGGCTTTATCACCCACCAATTGGAATCCATCCCTGTTCTCTTAAAATACGCACATGAATTAAGTTGCTTTCTTATGTAGCATTCACCCTGAGAGGGAAATGTCTTCTTAATGTCGTCCATTTTTATTCTTCTCGGGGTGTCTCTAGACTTCCAGAAAAGTCTGTAGATGAATACTTGAAGAAAATCTCGAACAAAATTAGTAGCTCTCTTTGAATTGGGCTCAGGAACTTCGTAAAGTGGACACTCTTGACCTGCAACAAATAATGCATTAATTTCCCTGATAAAATACCGCTGCCGAGTTCGAATCACTAAGAAATCTGTCTCAGGAATGTTGTGCTCGTAAATTGGAGCTCGGTACATGTTATTTTCGATCGCCTGAATGCTCTCGCCTGGTGTGAGGACACCGAGGAATGGACTCGTGTGAGCATAAGCTGTCTCTCCATACTTGTACTTTTGGGGGCCTGGATCCTTGCCGGCTTTCCGTTTGTAGTAATTTTTCACTTTAGAACACATGCCAACCTGATTTATCAATGGTGGATGCTCTTCAGAAAATTCAACCAGTATGAGATTGCTATCTTTACCACTCAAGTCCTCGGGGGTTCTCATAAAGAAGACGTCGCCACCTCCTGAGGCTATTCTTTCCTGTTCTCTTTGCTTGGCTTTCTTCTTTATGTGCTCAGATAGAGGCAGAACAGCATGCGGACCAGGATGGGCTAGAGGGCCATGACTGAACTGCTTTATTGGCGGCCTGTGGAAGTTCCTCAGACGCAAGGGCCCCATGTGGGTCTGCACAAATGGAGCTCTGAGCTCCACAACAGGTGTGCTGTGTTGAATAAGGTTGGGCCTCAGATGTGATTGTGAAAATCTTGGCATGTAGTAAATATCGTTGGAGATATTGAATGGATCATGATGTGGAGATTGAGGTAGAGGTGGAGGTCCGTCTTCTTCGAGAATGTTGATAAGTCCGGCTTTTCCCAGGAGTAGTTTACTCTTCTTCACGTGAGGTTGGGGAATCACCTTCACCTTCGGCGTGGGTCCATTCTCCTTATAAAGTAGAGTACGATCGACGTCATCAGGAATTCCCAAAACAATGTTGTCGTCGTTGGGATCCAGGGTAAGAATCTTTGGTTTTGGTATTTTCTTCATATTCTCAGCATCCCAGATGACCTCTTCCTCCCACAGTCCATAAACAAGCTCTTCATTCTCAACTGGGAATATCGAGTACCAAGTGTCATCGTAGATGTCCTCTCCCTGCTGCTGTTGATGACATTGCCCCTGAGCTGTATTGTTCTGTCTAAATGATGCCACTGGAACTGAAGTACCTCGCTGACTGAACGCCTCGACAGTTTTGCAGCCACTGAAAGGCACCCATCCAGCAAAATTTTTCTTGCTGTTCAGCCTCTGCATTACTTTGTGCTTCATCTTGTCACCATTCCAAATGACGTCATCTTCCCAGTGCAATTGAGACATCATTAAAAAAGCATCGTCAGCTAATTCTTCCTCTTCATCTTGTGCTTCCTCTGTTCCATGCGTTTGGCCATCTTTCTTCTCACCTATTTTAAAACCATAATTGAACCCCTCACCAGTCTCTGGTACTTCCAACATATCGTACCATAATTGTGCAGGTCCAAAACGCCAGTGAGCAGCATTCTCCATGTCCCCATTTGCCCCAGACTCACCAGCCTTTGCTCCTTTCTCTTCATCCTCCATGGGCATCAGCAGCTTTACCTCATCGTCAGAGGCGATGAGCTCTGATGGAGGCTCTTCGCCATAATTCATCTTCCAACCATCAAATTTAAGTTTCCTATAATCCTGGTCAGAATCAGAGCCTGCGTTACGTGTATCCCGATGCTTTCTCTTCTTTCTTCTTCTTCGAACTCCTCGCCAAAACTGTGAAGACCCACCGGGTTTATCAGAACTAAATAACCGTGAGAATCTAAGGACTCCGTTGGGCCGAAAGTCGGGGAATATTTCTGTTACCTCGATGCCGGCGTATTTCGAGGGTAATAGTGGGGCTAGAGGAGTTTCTAGCCTCCTCTGTCGGGCACTCTCAGCTTCTCCAGGGATCGAGGACTCTCCTTCGGGTTTTGGAGGCGGTAGCATCAGTTGTTCACCCGATTTGTTCACAATCTCCTCATTGTCTACATTGTAATCGACGGCACCTTTTTCTGTCTCCCACATTCCAACATTCCCCTCGGTTATGTCCTCCGCCAATTCGTTGATCTCCAAAAAATCATCAGATGTTGCAGATTTGTCTTGGTAATCAATGTCGTCTTTGTAATTTCCATTCTCGAATTGGCAATTTATTCCTTCGTTTTCAATTTGCTCTTCATCATTTGAATCGTGACTGTTTTTTTTATCTAAGAATGAACTGGGATCCAGACGACCGAGAGATGCCAATTGCTGCCTAGCATCATTATCAAGAATGTTATCCTGCAACTGACCATTTTCATCGATATTATCAACGAGAAACCCGGCTACATTTATGCCCGCCTCGCAGGCTCTATTCAAATCACTCATCATTCGTGTGGTTTTTTGTCGAGATTCGTTTATTTGTTCATTGTTGCATCAATCGCCCGGATAGAACTTAGAAATAATGTATCTATACTTTTTGAGAATATGTTATACTTTAGGAGTTTAATTTATCGTCCGATTGTGAGCGAATAATGGAGGGGTGCATTGATCATGTTATCCACTATATTTACAAACAAATTCCAACACAAAAGCCTCTTTTATTATCATAAATCAAACACGAACTGTCAACACGAACATGCTACGGCAGCCATCTTTGGCTTTTCGTCCGATACGTCGGCGATATATATATATGTACGATACATTTGCGCGCGCTCATCTGTTTGTAATGAAAATGAAAAAATCGTATTTATTAAACTTCATATACTCATAGATGTTTTATAAATATTGATAATGACTTGAAGAGAATTAAGAGAATGAAGAGTGAAACACCAATGAATCATTTTTAATCTTCGATTACTTCTTTTTTTTTACTTTTTAAAATAATCTGATTAAAATCTGTAATTGTTGAAAAATGAGGGAAGGGTTATGAACTGATTTCCTAGAAAACTGAAAAAATTTCTTGAATTCTTCGGAAAATTTCACAGTTTTCCCGATAACCGTAGATCTGCAAAGATTTTTCTCGAATTACTTGGGAAACCGAAGAATTTTCATGAATTTTGTAGAGTTTAGAATTTACGTATGAAAATCTGAGAAGCAAGATTTAGAAATAATATTTTTTTTTTCTCATGATCAACAATTAGGCAATTTAGATATGTTTTGGTATAACAATAAACTTCACACATAAAAAAATTAAAAATATGACGCATAAAATTTTTTTGGCATTTGAAGAATTTGAAAACACCGGGGATTTTTTTCAGCGACTACTTCACGCAACTCATTGACCAATCAGAATTGAGGATTAGCGGTCAGGCAGGTTCGAGATATTTCGATATAAAACAACTTCACGTTTCTTTCATCTTTAGTAATAGTATATTTCGTAACGAGTGCTAAAAAATATTTTTTCACGAGTTACGAACAATATTTTTCATCACAATGTGGCGGAAATTGGACTTTTAGGCACGCGGAGCGTGCCGAAAAGTTCACTTTTCGTCACAGCGTGATGAAAAAGGAATATACACACTTGTGATACATGTTGTATCGATTGGTGAATAGTTGAAAAGGGCGGGTAAATTCAAACTGCAGAATCTAAAAAAGGAAACTTTCATTATTCATTGCGCATGAAACTGTAAAATATGTAAATGGAAGGAGAGAATGTAATATAACAAAACCCCTGAATGATGCAATGCTATAGTTACAATCAGGGTTGGGCATCTGTTGATAACCGCTCTTTCTTACATGACATTGTAAAAAACTCGTAATTTACGTAATTAAGGATGTTCTACAACCTTTCTGCCAAAATTCACGTTTTTTAATTTTTCTGGCAAACTTATGATGGAATTGACGTGAAAAAATATAACGTTTTTGCGTTTTGTCATTATTTAATGACTGACGAAATTTTAAGGTGGTGCGAACATTTTCCTGCGTTTTCTCTAAACTTTTAAAAAGAATCACAAAACTGTAGAAAAAACGCATGAAAATTATCGCACCACTATGCAACTTCGTGAGCCATTAAAGAATGACAAACCACAAAATCGTTATATTTTTTCACGTCACTCCCATCGATAATTTGCCAGAAAAATGAAAACAACGTCAATTTTGGCTAAAAGGGTGTCGAACATCAAGGTAAACCGTGAAGCTTCACGAAGATTATGCCGTGAAGCCTCGCGAGGGTGATAAAAGTCACGAGGATCACACCTCGTAAGAGTCATACCGTGGAAGGGATGAATTTTACAAGGGTCAATCTCATTATTTATTGATCTCTATTGAATTCGTGGCGTCATCATCTTTTATATTGATATTAACTTGTTTCATTCAGCATTCTTAAATGACAAAACTAATCCAATTGTCTTTGGTAGCTTTTTTGAACTTTTCAGAACAAAATGGTTCTTTTCAGGTCCAACTGGGCTTTTCCGGGGCTCCAAATAATAAAGTGAAGAATCCAATAGAGCTCAATAGATAATGAGATTGACTTTCTGACAATGAAAATGACTTATGACTTTGATCTTTTGCCACGTTTGACCCTAGTGAAATTTACTCTTTGCGGGGTATAAGGCTCATGTTTTTGACGTTCTTAAAATGCCACGCATCGTACCACGTGATGTAAAAAAATATTTTATGCCCCAAGTCCCGTGAACCGCATTTTAATCGAACAAAGTAAAATTAAAATTCGCCATTTACCTGTCCTCGGAACATAATATAATATTTTTTATTATGATATTTATGTGTCCAATACTGCGTCTTCGTCAGTCGGTATTGGATTATGTGTAGGAATACTCAATAAAAACACATTAGTTTTATTCTTCAAAGTAAAACTCTTTAATGATCGCACGCAGAAGGTATATCTTTCTCCAACGAAGTCTCTAGGACGACTAACTAAAAGTCATGAGAGTTTTCACTCTCTGGACCCATTTGACAAAAGGCCCTTGTTTCAATTTTCTTCAGCCTCTCCTTTGTGACTCACCATGAGGACTGTTTTTCTTCACGTCTCTATTTTCTAAGAAAAGCCATAAATGTCACCCTGAGTGTTTGGGTGGAAAAGAGAAAATGTTTAACTAAACTAAGAAATTAATTTTTGTATTCAGGCATGAATTTCAACAGTCGGAATAAAATAAAACATTCTAGTAACCGAAAATTGCAAGCTTTTTGAAATAATGTAAAACATGTAAAAAACCAATCGAGGTAATTTACGTAAATTACATCGGTAAAAATCGGTGTAATTTACTCGCACAACCCTGGTTACAATCATTTTGAGGTTCAGAAATTCTAACAAAAGTTGTCCCAGGAGAGGGGGTCAGAAAAGAAATCTCATGGCAACGTGAATATGATATCCCTAGTAGAAATTGTGAGAGGCTCTGCGACATTGGCTGTTGCAGCGACATTCACGCACGGAGTGCGCTTCCGTACTCCGCGGCTAGGTCGCTGCTGGAACCCTATGAGACACTGACGCGATGCGCTCCCATTTTTCATTTTATCGATAATAATAATCATTAATTTGTTGCGAGATCATGTAATTTTTCCTTCACAATTGGCGGCGAAGAAATGGAGCTCTCCCAACATTGAACCAACCAAAAAGTGCACTTTCAATTGTTTTAGCTTCTAGAGAATGAATTCAAAATTTTAAAAACGCACAAAACCTAAAATATTTCTTGTGACAGCTGAAAGAAGATGGCTGAGTCGTCGGCTTTCTCAGAATTTGAAGCATACATTTTTCGGAATCCTCGAAGATTTTTGAAAGCTCTTAAAAATCAACAAATGAAAGAAAATTTTTCAGAAATAATCAGATATGAAGAGGAATGCGTCATCAAGCCCGTGTCATCCGATGGTCCGGAGAAGTCAAAAAAGAGTGAAAGAAAATTGAGACGTTGATGAGAAAAATAATGAGATTAACAATGGTGATTCAAAGTGTGAATCAACGACATCCAATCAGCAGGGCGTATAACAAGTGGCCGGACTTGCAATAGCAGAAATACCACAAATGATCGGCGAGTTTACGGATTACCGTCTTTTAGTTATTTCGTCACTCAATTTTTAGTTCAATTCTTCTGGCCTTTTTTTATGTAGAAATGTTGAGAAGATTAAACAAGAGGCTACGAAATTATATAAACTTGGGAAGTACTATTCAGCTGTCTTCACATGGGTACACATACCTCATCAGTACTTCTTTTAGGATCATTTTTTGGTTGCTTTATCGCAGTGAATTAGATTGTAATTTGCTTTCTGATTCTGCTTCTAGGAATGCAACCCAACAATGCAATCAATTATGGCATTCGAGCTGCGTGCTATATGATGCTGGGAAAATACGGGATAGCTCTGAATGATGCGGAAAAATCAGTAGAATTGAGTCCTACTCTTTTTTTCAAAGCTTTTTTTCAAAGCCCTCTCAAGAGGTGAACTCGGCAGGTATGACAACTATATTGTATATATTGTATCCCAAAAGAGAAACTTCCCGGACCGTTATCAGGCTTCTTTCTTTACATGGAGAGAGGTGTTCAGTAAAAATTACGGAACTCACAGTTCGTTCACCGATCACGGAATCGACGCAGAAAATTTAAGTGATGGTATCGTAATTTTTCACAGGAGATTCCGGCAAAAATTACGGACGGCTCTGGAAAAATTTCGTAATTTTAGGTAATAATTACATGACAGTTCCGTAAAATGTCCTAGAACCCCATTTCGCTCCGGAATCACGGAAAAAATACGTAATTTTTATTGAATATTTCTCTCCGTGTGGTTTCTATGATCATATCCCTGTTCCTCTGCGAAAGTTTATTAAATAAGTTCCAAAATAACACCTGATTTGTCCAAATCCGACCATTCTCCGTTGACTCAGGGGCATTTTAACCCTAGTCCGGTCGCCAAACGCGCCTCCGCGAGTTGGGTCACCTCCGCGGGGATTCCCCGCCGTGTTATTCAGGCTTTGGCGTTGCCGGATTCACTCTACATTATCCGGGCGCGTTAAGGGGTAACGGAACCCGTCGTACACAGAGGTTCGGGGTCCCCCCTATCGGTATTGCAGGTTCCCGTGGTTTTTTGGATTTTGTACGTGAAAAGTACAAAAGCCTATAAAATATAAATAAATATAAATTTAAAAAAATGAAAAAATAAAATAAAATATAAATAAAAGGACATGTTACCTCCTGGATACCACCCAATCATCATAAACAAGTTTTTATGAAAATTACGCAACAAAAGTACGTTTTTGTACTCAAAATCTCTGTCCTGGACCTCACTCGATCGCTCTCTTCTCATGAAAATAGCCATCGGCTAAGAAAAATCTACAAAACATCCGTTTTTCTACCATGACTTGGCAGATTCCTACAAATAAAATGGCGTCGGCCTTGCCCTGTCCTTGCCGTTAATTAGTTTGCAATTTTTTTTGGATAAATAAGAAAAGCATGAGAAGAGAGCGATGCGTTCTGCTACTATCAAAAAGGGGAAAAAGTTTCATTGATTCTCATTGCATAGAATCGAAGAAAACTTGTTTTTGGTAAACGTATTTTTGTGGTCGGTTCCGTTACCCCTTAAGCTCTGAAATACAATTGTCAACATAAATTCTGTCCTACTAGCCTGAACTGAGTATGGCATGTGATTGGCCATTTAAGAGTATCCCTCATTCCTCATTGGCGATGAGCCCCCACTCAGTTAAGGTTAGTAGGACAGAACTTTTGTTGCCGATTGTACAATCGTCAAAAAAAAGTTCACGCAGTACTTGAAGTTCATTGTTAAAGTTGATCTATGCAATTGACCTATTTTGCAGCTAGCGAAAAAATTCCTGGTGAAGAAATCCGAAGCAAATAAAGTTTATAGGGCTAGAAACTTTTCTCAAGCATGCCAACTATTGGGACCGCTAATTACCGATGGCGGCGCTCGTTTTCACCAATATGGACGATTTTAGGCTTCCCATATACACGCTAACACAAGCCCAAATTGGGTTGTATACTGTCTGTGTGCAGCCCAATATCCGCCATTCATAGGTGGCGTTTTGATATTTAGCGTTTCCAATATCAGCAGTTATGTGAAGAATGTAAACATAACAAGCTGATGGTAACAATCCTATCCTTCAACATGGCCCAGGCCACCTACAACTTGGGAAACCTCAACCAATGCCTGAGAGAGTGTGATAAGGTCTTACAACTCAAGCCGGATCACCAAAAAGCCCTGATGCGCCGTGCTCAGTGTCACATGGACCAGAAGAACTACGAGAGAGCTGTGGAAGATTTGGAACGTGCTTTGAAGATCGAGTCATCACCTGAGGTGCGGAAGTTGCTGGAAGTAGCTCAAAAATGTTTAGAAAAAGCCAAGAACAATTTTCACGCAATCTGGGGGATTGCGCATAGTGCCTCTGCAGATACGATCACCAAGGCTTATAAAGAATTGATCAAAATACGCCATCCCGATCGGCATGCGAATGACACAGAGAAGCTGAAGAAATTCCATGAAACCAAGTGCAAGGAGATCACACGAGCTTATCAGTTACTAATGGACGAGCTATCTCCAAGTCAAAGGTACAATAGTAAATCAAATACTGATCAGAGAAGCAAATGACAGATTCCACAGAGGTCATCTTGGGGAAGTTATAATGATAACAATCGGCAAAAATCTTCAACTGGAGCTACGAAAAATAATTTCACCGGAACTCAGTCATATCCAGGAGATGTTAATAATTTCCAATATGGACAAAAATCTTCGTCTGGAAGAACGAATGACAATCCTTCTGGAACTAAGTCGTCACCTACAGGGTCAACCCGGAAAGAGTCAGCAGGAGGTTCTTCCGAAGAACCCACGCAGTCATCAGGGAGCTCCAGAAATTGTAATGAGCAAAAATGTTCATCCACAAGTGCTAATAATAACTCAAAAAAAAAACAAAATAACTCCAAAATTGGAGTTATTATTAAGTGCTTTACTAATAACTCCAATAGACCGAAATCATCATCAGACACGTCTACAAATTCTAATAGGCAGAAGACCTCGTCTGAAGGTGCCAATAAAAATTCGAATGGCCATCTACCTTCATCAGAAAAGCCAAATGACAATCCCAATGGAAGTCCATTGTCATTAGGCACTAATAGTAATGGCAAAGGGAAACAATCTTCATGGGAAAATATCACTGATGATTGGGGTGACGACGATTAAGAAGACTTGGGATTTTCAAGTGTTGGTCGGAAACACTGCCGGATGGATCTGAACACTATTATTGGACATCGAGGCATAACGCAAACTGAAATGGCAAGGTGTTGAAAATCTTTTATTAAATTTTATTTGTTACTTTGGTGTTATCGAAGTATAATTCTCGATTTGACACCCGCACCCTACCTGCCTGTTCCTCCTTTCTTTTTACCTCGGGTATTCCCCCCTCTGCGCTACCAGGGACCGACTTCCCCAACTTCCTCAACAGGCCATTTGGCCTGGACTGAGGGGAACCATGGAAGACCTCAGTCATGCAGCCGGCCGATATTGTAGGGATTCTAAAAAACATGAAAAACAGTCCTAGATCCTTCGGCCAGAAGTTCCCAATTTTATTTTTCTAATGAAAGTAGAAAAAGTATAAAGCAGAAAAAATCATGATTTTTTCAATTTATGTAGTCAGGAATTTTTAGTTAAATCATTGCAATAGGATAAATTGTATAAAAGAGCAAATTTTTTTTTCTATTTTACATTAAATAGCTTTTATTAGACATTTTCTATTGAAAAAGAAACCATGCGGAAAAGCTGCAGATTTTCAAATGGAAGTGACAAAAAACCAATTGAATTACTAGTAGAAATCGAATAAAATTTTCTAGTGAATACGTTAGCTCTTTCTATGAAATTTTATGTTCATAGAGGAGGGTAGGGTGAAATGAACCATTTGAATTGCAGATAAATTGATGGACGAATCTAGACCTCAATTAATGAATTTATGTTTGGCTTATGAATATTTGATGAATTTAATTTACAAAAAGTCAAGAGTGTCCATTTTTCTCCACTCTCTCATGCATAACATTGGAACGACTTGAAGTGACGTTTTGACTCATTGTACATCTGCTTGATGAGGGCATGTATAATTCCATCATGTAATAAATGTTTTCTTACTTACTGCAAACTACAATTCTTCCCTCTTGAGATGATCCTCGACGAAACTCAATTGATAAATGTGTTTCTGATTTATAAACATTGGAAAGAAAACAGTCAAAAGTGAAAATTTGCAGATTTTCTAAAAATCTGTCCATTCATGTTTCCAAGAAGGTTCCTGAATAGCATAATTATTCAAGTTTTTTCATTATTTTGTCTCCTTCGAAAAATAATTAATGGAGTGTCCAGCACTAATTGCACGATATACCGAGATATGAATCCTACTTGTCTTATCACAATTTATCTTTGCAATGAAAAATCCATGGAGAGATCCAAGATCCCGTAAAATCACAAAATTTTCAATAAAACTCCGTTTGTTTTTTGAATAACAGTATTGAATTACTCAGAACTTTTGGTGGCAATTTCCTGCACCATGACTGTGGCACCAAAATGAGTTCTCATATATTCAAAGAAAAAAATGTAAATCATGGAAATTAATCAATGAAATAAAGTGCAACCCCATAATTAAAACAAGTTTGACTGTCTTTAATCATCAGAAAAGAGATTGTTACTGTCCTTTTATCCAAAAAATTATCTTTGCCTGAGTGATTCGTAGAAGCGTATTTACCAGGGCATTTGAAATTCACCGCGCTGAGTCGCCTCCTCCCGTTTTTTATAGGCCCCGCTTGCTTTTGACGACGAGAGTGGTCGAACCTGGCAACACGGCCTGGCCCTTTCCACTGCTTATGTATAATTACGCCAACTGACGAGTCCGTTCCCTTCGTAGCTACCCCCACTTTGGCTAATCCCCACGCACATCCACATCTCCCACCTCTGAAAACGAAGGGAACGGACTCGTCAGTCCGACAGCGACAGTATTTATCCTGTTGCCTGCAGTTGCTTCGACAGTCAACGCTCGACCTGGCTCGACCCTCAAGTCACCTCAACAACACGAGTTTGAACAAAATATTTGGATTAAAACCTTGAAGTGACTCATTTTGTCTAGCGTTGAGTTCAAGGCCTCTTGTGTTGCGTTCAAGGCCTCTCTTCCAACGCATTATTCTACACGTGAAAGAACAAAAAACGAACGAGACCTGTAATAAAAACTAACAGTAGGACTAGGTGAGTAAAATTTAGTATTTCTGATTGTCAGGAATTACAGATTTTTCAAATAACGACGACTTAATCCGTCTCATATAGTGCAAAAATATAAATATCTACACGTTTTAAAAACAAATCCACTCACGGTGCTCAGAAGATAAACTCGCGCATTGTATTGAGTTGTAGGTTAGTTATTCAACTACTAAGAGCTGTGGAAACTAATGAGAACTACACTGCGAAGACAGTTTTTTTTAGAAGTATAGCTTTACTTGTACCAAGAAATTCATAACTTGAAAGTTATCAAGCGCACAATATCTCACACTAAGAAAAAAAATCTTACGCCAAGAAATTTTATACTTGTCCGAAAGATGAGGGCGCTTGAAAATTTTCAAATCACAAGTTTCTTGATATAAGTAAAGACGTACTTCTCAATAAACTTTATTTTTCTCAGTGTACTTGTGTTTTGAAAGATTCTTAACAATTACAAACCATTTTTCGGCGAGCAACATCTTTCAAAAACATTACTTTTAAGACAAGAGAAATATTTTCGTAATGTGGTTATACCCCCTAGGCGCATTTCCGGATTCTATATTTAATATTTATGAGAATATTAATTTGAGTTTTCACCATTCTCACCTTATTGTCAAACAGACGTGCAAGCTAGATAAGGAGTTGCACAGGCCACCCAGCTAAGGAATAAGGATGTTTCTCAGTCCAAAACCTAAACTTTGAATAAAAAAAGACTTATCAAATCATCTTCCAATTTTCATTGTGATGTTCTCCAAGTTCGATTGTTCGTAGAATAGACAAAATTATTCAAAGATTGACAAGAACGCCAAGTGAGCGGTGTTACCCGAATTCAGGTAAATCTGCTCACTTGGTTCCTGGTGTTATCAGAATGTGGGTAATACCGATCAGTTTTGTGTATAGGGGTGTTTTCGCCAATTATTGGCAGGATTTTTTACCTTCAAAAATTTAATTTTCTTGAGGCTTCTCATATGGCTTTCTTATCATTGAAAAGGCCTCAAAAAAATTTTTTTTATTAAAAAAAATTGTATTACGCCCATAATGTTAATTTTTTAATTTTGCGAATTTTTGACACCATTTTGCATCCTAACAGAGGTCCATTTTTTTCGGGTTTTCGATATGTATTTCCGACAGAAGTTTTCAGTTCTTTCGATTGAGCATGGTGCCAATCAGCTTATGTCGTCGAAAATGCTTTGAAATCGCCAAAAAACTAGAAAATTGTGCGTGGTACCCCCTTCCCCCACCTCGATTGAAGATTCTTTTCTTTCCTTATCCAAAGTGACTATTTTTATGAAACATATTATAAAATTAAACTGAAACTTGGATCCATTCTATCCAAAAATAATTTTTTTTCAATTTAGTTGTAAAGTTTTTCCCAATTTCTCATTTTTTAATTTAATTATTTATTCTCATCAGCACTCCCAATAATAAAACAGTTTAATAAACAAAAGTTGATAAAAAATAGTCAATGAACAAAATTTTTTTTTGCTTGAATTGTGTCCAATAGTCGTTTTTCGGCTGTTTCATTTTGCTCCACTCTCCCCTACCTTTTTGCGTTTTTCCTATTTGTTCTCTTAGTGCCTCCCTTCCCCCATATCGCTTGATTCAAATTACAGACCTTTTCTTCAACTTCTTTCAGAATTTTTCCTGAATTGACAAATACGAAAACTAACAATGAATACGCGTGAATTCATTGAGAAAATAACAAAATTACCGAAGACTAATGACAAATCCTCGATCACGATTTTTCCTCAGCCCAACGTGAACGCAGGATGTGGGAGCAACGGCGTACGCCCTCCTAGACAAGTAAAAAATCCCCACGTGAGTAGAATTGTCATATCTAAACCAGAGCTGCGAGAATACTTTATGAGAATTTCATAGAAATATTATTTCCAGTGGTTTTCTAATATTTTTTCCGAATGTAATATAATTTGGAATCATAATTTCAAGTTTACTTAGGACGACTATTCACTTTCGATTCAGAGAAAGGGATGACCCTGAAGTTTGCAGACAAAAATCTTCAACAGAGAATATCTGGTGAGGAAATTGAACAATTAGAAAATTTCAAGTTCATTTTGTCGGGCGTGACGGAATCTAATCGTGATGGTGGCTAAATATGTGAATAAATAAATTACTGGTTGATTTCTTCGAAATTTAACTATGGAAAACCATTGACACGGCATATCTCACCTCGGAGTTATTTTATTGGAAAAAAAACATGGTCACGATTTTCATTCTACGAAATTTCGACGTGATTTTTTTCCTTTTTTTTCTAGTCTTATCGGTCAACGTTAAGGATTTTCTACATGCACCGTAGCGGGGGGGGGGGNGTGCGGGTGTGGAGGGGTATGACTTTCGTAAGTGTTCCAATCCCTGAACACGAAAAAATCGAGTTTTCAATTACGTTGTTGAGGTGCTATTTGGCGACTTTACTGGGATTAATATTTTTCTAATATCATATATTCATCATGGCAATACGTCAATTGCATTAGAAATTTTTTATGATTGTATTTAATAATTGTTAAATAATGAAAATTCAGTCCGGAACAGAGGCAACGTCGCCCACTAGAAAATTTGGGTGAGACGTGTTGGTAACATTGGCTCCTCAGCCACTCTAGAGTGTTTACCTCCCGCATTCTAACCGACAGACTAGTACAATGATAATTTCTGCATTGACGGTGATATTCAAGGAAACAAAATGTTCAATAAATATTTTGTGGAATTTTGTGGAATATTTTAGTTCAGTGTATAATGGAAATTCCTCTTCAGTTCTCTTTCAAAGTGCGCTCTTCTCACATCCCTGACGGACCGACTTCAGAGTTGCGTCAGAGTTGCATAAGACTTGAATATTTCCAACATTTCAGAGAAAGTTCAAAGTTCGGTCAGAGTTGGGGCTATGTCGGATTCTGGGGAGGGGCCGGGGGGGTTTACATGTGTTCTCTGAACTCTTACCTGCCGTCAGAGTTAAGAGTTCAGTTTTTTTATTGTTGATCATTATTTATTTATTTCTGGGGAAGGGAGGGGAATCCATTTGTTCTCTGAACACTTACATGCCGTCAGAGTTAAGAGTTGAGTTTTTTTATTGTTGATCATTACTTATTAATGAGTCAGAGTTAAGAGTTGAGTTTTTTTAATGTTGATCATTACTTATTAATATCTGGGGTGGGGAGCAGCGGTTTACATGTGTTCTCTGAACTCTTAACTGCCGTCAGAGTAAAGAGTTCTGTTTTTTTATTGTTGATTATTATTTATTCCTTTTTGGGAGGTGGAGCGGGAGTTTACATGTGTTCTCTGAACTCTTACCTGCCGTCAGAGTTAAGAGTCTAGTATTTTTACTGTTCATCATTATTTATTTATTTCTGTGGTGGGAAGGGAGGGGGGGTTGCATGTGTTCTCTGAACTCTTACCTGCCGTCAGAGTTAAGAGTCTAGTATTTTTACTGTTCATCATTATTTATTTATTTCTGTGGTGGGAAGGGAGGGGGGGTTGCATGTGTTCTCTGAACTCTTACCTGCCGTCAGAGTTAAGAGTCTAGTATTTTTACTGTTCATCATTATTTATTTATTTCTGTGGTGGGAAGGGAGGGGGGGTTGCATGTGTTCTCTGAACTCTTACCTGCCGTCAGAGTTAAGAGTTCAGTTTTTTTATTGTTGATCATTATTTATTCATTTCTGTGGAAGGGGGGTCCATTTGTTCTCTGAACACTTACCTGCCGTCAGAGTTAAAAGTTGAGTTTTTTTATTGTTGATCATTACTTATTAATATCTGGGATGGAAAGGAGAGGTTTACATGTGTTCTCTGAACTCTTAACTGCCGTCAGAGTAGAGTTCTGTTTTTTTATTGTTGATTATCAGAGTTAAGAGTCCAGTATTTTTTTAATTTATTTATTTCTGGGAGGAGGGGGAGGGCGGGTGTCCATCTGTCCTCTGAACTCTTAACTGCCTTGAGGGTTAAAGATGATAGGGCATTACAATCCATTTTAGCTTATGAAAAAAATTGTACCTCTAAGCTAACATCGGTATTCCCCCAGCTAGAGAATTTTCACTAGCAGTAACTCTAAATTTGACAACGTTGCAAGGGGTACCGTAGGGCGCATGTTGTGCACGCCGAGCATGGGAAATACATACCATTGCCACGTTGCCACGCATTGCCACGTTGAACGAGAGTGACAATTTTTGTCACTAGACGGGTGAAATAATTTATCTAAAAATCGAAAAGCTTCCTAATGGTTTCAAAAATTAATCCAAAAAAATTGAATATTCTTTTCCGGCATACCCAAAAAGTTTCAGATTTTTATCACCTTTTTTTAAGCCTATAGAATTTTTTTACCACTTTTTCCCATAAAAATCTATGTTAACTTCAAACTCGATTATCTCCTACAAAAGCTTTCTACAGTGCTTTTGAAACTTCTACTGAATTTTTTTTAGGGTAACCTTAATACAAAAAAAATATTCAGATTTTTATCACCTTTTTTGACGTAATGCCCTATCATCCTTAAGAATCCAGATTTTTTATTGTTGATTATCATTCATTTATTTCTGAGGAGGAGGAGGGGGTGGGGGGGGGGGGGTTCAACTATCCTCCCAACTTTGAGCCGTCGTCAGCATTAAGAGCTCAGATTAGGCGGATTCTGGAAAGGGCCGAGGGGGGTGGGGGGGTTTCATGTGTTCTCTGAACTCTCAACAGTCTTCAGAGTTAAGCGATCAGTTGCGGCGGAATCGGGAAGGGGGGAGAGTGGAGATCCATGTCCTTTCTGAACACTTCGCAGTCTTCATAGTTAAGAGATTAGTTTAGGCGGGGTATGATAGGGGGATGGGAAGTCTCATGTGCTCTCTGAAATGTCCATATTTTTAAGAGTCAAGATTTCAATTTTGGGAGTTTGGGGGTGGGGAGGAAATCGGTTTTTTGTGTGGTCTGTGAACTCTCAAGATTCTTCACAGTTGAGACTGCAGTTTTGGGAGTTTTCTGGGGAGAGGGAGGGTAGGTAGGTTCTGTGGGCTCTCTGAGTTCTCAACACATATATCGCGGTTAAGAGATCACTTTCGGGCGTTGTAAGTACTCTCTGAAGCAACATTACCAAGAGTTGAGAGTTTATTTTTTGCGGGTATATATTTCCCTGTTTGAACTCACAACATATTTGACGAATAAAAGTTGATAGTTAGTCATCGAATTTCTCCCTTCTCGACTGTTCCAATATTGTGGTTGAGTTTCCGTGTAAATTCGACCACTCTTCAGTGTAAAGTATTTGGACGGGTATTTGGACTTCAGTGTACGATACTCTATTAGTTATCGATATCTATTCTTTCATAAGTTATTAGGCATCAATATTTTAAGAGTTGAGAATTCATTTTCAAAGGCTACGAGGTGCCCTTTTCGAAATCAATATTTGTGGTGAATGAGAGTTAGGACGGACGGGGCGCTTTTCTTCTCTCCTCTCTACATATCCAAAGGCTAAGAGCTGAGTTTGGGGGGCTTTCGAGGCAGTC